GTAATAAATTTATATAAAAAAATGTAAAGATAAACATTAATTTTAATGTCAATATCATATGAATAAATTTAATTAAACAATAAATAAATTAAATATTACTTTTTATTTTTTCAAGATTCTAAGGGTACAGATTAAAAAGCCAATTAAAAAAAACCCTAGAACAAAAAGGAGTTTTATCAAAACATTTATAGCAAGCACAATAATCAAAACAACGAAAGAGCAACGGTCATAGCATTTACAGCAATCACAGCAATGAAGAATCAAGCAACGGTCAGAACAGAGAAAAAGATGCACAATAGATAATCAAGAAACTTCTTGATTCTGGACATGATTGTAACTATAATTGATTTCATTGAAATTTTAATTCTAAAGTACAAAATTCTTTTCTCTAAACTTCAAACTAAGATTCTAAAGTACTCTGAAAGTAAGATTCATCGTGTCTTCACGTTTTTGACATAATTTATTTTGTACAAATTAAATGCTAGATTGCCAAAGTTAATTTTGCTTAGAGATGACTTTTTTCATTGGTTATACATAGTTCAGATGCTATTTAGAGCATAAAATACTCTAAAAGGTGAAAGTTGTTTATTGTTTGCAGGCGCTCTAGTTAAATGTGGGATGATAGTTACTCATGATGGCATAATTATTTTAAGAAAAATTATTAATATGTTTTTTGATTTAATATATTTATTAACACTCGATTTAATTATGAAAATCTATAATTTTAAATTTTTGTATCCATCATTTTAATTTAAAATTTATAATTTCTTAATAAATGTATTATATAATATATTAAATTAAAAATATATATGTATCATTGTCCTTATTCTAAATATCTATATGTTTGGATGCAAACTTTGTTAGCTAATTTTGTATTAACTAATAATTATCATTTCTTTATATATATATAGGTGCACTCCATCACTGACAATTGTTTGCCACTTGAATCACCTGTATGCTTAAGCAATTTATACTATTGGACACTTTTTTCTTTTTTCTTTTTTTAAAAAAAAATTACTATCTTTTTTACATTAATAATATATTTGGGTTGAGAAAAATAGAAGAGAAGGGAGGGGAGGGGAGAAAAGAAATAAATTTTTTAACTAATTAAATTATAACATTTTTAAAGTAATAATTTGATTTTTTAAAATGTTATAATTTGATTAGTTAAAAAAAAATTACTATCTTTTTTACATTAATAATATATTTGGGTTGAGAAAAATAGAAGAGAAGGGAGGGGAGGGGAGAAAAGAAATAGATTTTTTAACTAATTAAATTATAACATTTTTAAAGTAATAATTTGATTTTTTAAAATGTTATAATTTGATTAGTTAAAAAAATCTTCTCCTCCTCTTCCCTCCCCTTCTCTTTATTTTCTCTCAACCTCAATATACAATAGGTGTTTGCAAAGCTTAAAAAGTAATTTGTTTAAAAGTAAATTTTTATCTCACAAATTTAAAACTTATTAGAAGAAATTGAGAAATTAACTTTTAAAGTAATTTTTAAGTAAGTTTTTAAAAAATATTTATGCATTTTAATTTTATTAAAACTTGTTTAAAAGTTACTTTGAAAGCCAATTTTAAACTTTCTTCAACAAAAAATTTTAAACTTATAAGAGGAAAATTTATTTTTAAAGTAAAGACTTTTTAAACTTTACCAAATATTCTCATTAAAGCACAAGTTACCATTCACATTATATCTAATACATATTATCAATAGATTCGCACATTATGTATTTATATTAGGTATCCTTGTTATTGCCAACCCTGTGGCTATTAGTTCGGGTGTGGTAATTGCCACACCCTAAATAATTAATATCATATTTTTTTAATGTAATTATCTATTATATTTTTATATTATGTTTTTTCTCAAAAATTCTACATTTTTTGTTTTTTAATAGATTAAAGCGTAAAATAATCAATTAACATAAAAATATGTAGCCTTTGTAATTGAGAATATGGCAACAACATCACCCTTATTAGCCCCCTTAGTCAGTAATATTGAGTACTTTTTTTACTTATAAATGAAATTTCATGATATACTATCAACAAAAATTTACAGAACAAATTAATCATTAAATCAAATTGCAAATAAGAGCATCTGTCCCAAATCCTAAGGACAATTTTTTCAAAAAAATTTACCTTGCCTTGATATATTTACAAATAAATGGAATGTAATTTAAATTATACCAAATTAACTACATTACGATAATGGTTAGGCACCTAATATTTGAGATCCTCCTCTTATTCAATCGTTGTTATTATTTTACACTTCAATGCACTTAAAATTAAAAAATATGATTCCCATTTATTTATCATATAATTTTATGAGTTCAAAGTCAAACCCAAGTTCATTTAACAATCGCGTCAATTCAAGATTAATTAATTCATAATTAGTTTGCCTCAACATATATACCTCGCTAAGAGATTGTTTGATATAATAATTTAAGATTAATAATTTACAATTTTATTTAATTCAGTAAATAAAAATATTTAAATTATTGATAATAACAATTATCAACTTTGAAATTAGATAAAATTATTAATTTTAAATTGTTATATTAACAGTGACAACATTCAGAGATAATTAAAAGCATATGATTGGAAAAGAAAATTTACTATAAATTATTCATAGGAAAAATTGTCATTGTTAATCCTATATTATGCATAGAATAAAAAGAAAAGCCGTTATTGCGTTGGAAGGGAGCTGTAGATTAGGCGATACTCCGGGGTGGTTTTTCAATTTGCCTTCGCCCAAACTTTGTTGATGGCCAAAGCATTGCTGCATAACCTCCGGAAAATGGTACTCCTCTCCAAAATTACAGACTGTTTTCCGGGATACTCCTTCAACGCATCTTCACACGACTCTGCATCGATGATCGCCGCCTCCACCCAGGTCTTCACATCGTTGCTGGCCTCCGCCAGCAGCGCCGCGATCGAATCGTCCAGCTGCTCCACCGCCGAGAGGTAATGTTCCCAACATTCATTGAGACACTGATCGATTGCGGGCTCCGACTCTGACGTATCGTTTTGAATCTTCTTGATGTAGTCCAACGTGTCGGATCCATTGGCACCGGCAAGCCTGATAGCGAGCAGGACAAGGCCGCGGAGGTCGGAATCTTTGCTTGCTTCGTCTGCCTGGAGGCTCTGGATGCAGAGATCCTTGTACTCTGCGTCCTTGCAGGCTTTCTCGATTAATTTTGCTGTGGCATTGGCATCGGCAGCGTTTAGCAGAGGGAGGAAAGAGAGGCAGAAGGCGAGAGGGAAGAGCAGGGAGAAATCTATGCTGAACTTCATTGTGTTTTGTTTTGTCCTTCTGTTGTGAGAATATGAAGCGGCGTGGGGTTAGTAGAAAAGTGTTAATTTTGTTTGGGAATTGAGTTTGTTTCAAATGATTTTGGGTAATGTTTAGATTTGTTTAAACTTTGTTGGCTAAAAATAGCGGAAATCAAAAATGACCATTAATCTGAGATGAATGCGGCTTGCCAATGAAAAAAAAAAAAAGTGCCATTTGTGGTAGATTTGACAAAAAAAATTTTGTATCACGTGATATTTTTTATTAATTAAAAAAAAAATTCTAAGGTGGAATTTTAAGCTGCCATGATATTTCTAACATGAGATTTTTAAAGTATAAATATAGGTTTCTAATGATTCATCTTTTATTAGTTAAAATGAAAATACTACATATTAATGATATGTTAACTTAAGTAGAAAGAATTTAATTTTTTTAAAATAATATTTTAAATAAAAAAACATATGTTGAGAAAACATTTTTTTATGAGTTCAACGCGACTTGATTTTGAATTAGATAAGATTTAACATATTTTTTGAATATCAAAAAATTTAACACAAATAATTGTTTTTCTTAAAATATCTGATAATAAATTATATAAGAAATAAATAAATACCGAGCTTACAGAAGATAAATGGAGGAGGCAGTTTAGTGATAGAAACACCGTGATGGTAATGGGTTCAATTGACAGTTGCGTGGGTGCTGGTAGTGATACAAATACTGGCGAACTATATTACAAGGAAAAATAGTTAGAATTACGAAAAATAGTTAGAATTACGAAAAATAAGGCAAGATCGATATTACTAAATAATCTTGTGTGAAATTTTCCACTGCAAAATAGCAGGACTAAAATTTCTAAGTACACATTACTCAGAGATAAAAAGCTTGCTCCAAATGGCATGGCTTTTTTCATTTAAGAATGGGAAAATAAGGGAAGAATGAAACTATTGAAAATATGGTAAAACGAACATTTTCATGAATTTGATAGGTTGATCTTTAGTTTTCTTCCAATATAGTTGATAATTCATTCCCTGAAGCCTCTGCTATTCCTTCTTCCCCTAGCTCTCTCAAATTTCCTTCCCTTTGATCGTACATATGGCTTGGCATGGCTATGAGGAACACCAGGAGCAGGTCCGAAGTGCTTTACAGGCTCACGACACAAGCATTCTTGGGACCGCGGAGGAGACCCTACACAAATTTAGTATGAAATTTTCATTAAAGAATCTATAATTCCTTATGCCCAAAAAATCTATATTTCCTCAAATTGCATCAGTTTTCATTAAAAAAATAATTTTTTTCCATATTAAAAAAAAAAAAAAAAAAAGGTCAAAAGAAGGGCAGAAAAAACAATCAAGTCACTAATTCAATAAAGATACAGATAAATTGATTAAAAAATATATTCACTCCCCTTGCCTAGACACAGAAATTCAACTATACTGCAGAATTAATAAGGAAATGCAAAAGTGACAATCCCTTCCAAACATCAACATGTTCCAGTGCAAATTAAAAGCTTTGCTTTACAAGTTAAATTGCAAAATAATGTCAGTTTAAACTTGCTATATGCTTCGAAGATGAAATTAATAATTTAGGATTGCGAGTAGCATGGCTAAGGTTTATACACATAGTTAGCTAGGCGTTATGTCAAGGTTTGTCTAACCAAGCAGGAATAAGCAACACAGCTTTTGATGGATGGAGCAACCACTAACAAACACTAAACCATCCATAACACACTTAAGACTAGGTGAGAACCACCCGAATAGAAGGAAAGTTAAGGGGTATTTTAGGACCAGTTGATAGGGGTGAGATTTGCTATGACCAAAACAGTGAAAAATATTTTCCCCTTGTTTGCTTTACCTCACTCAAATGTGAATCATATTTCACTAGTTGTCCCTTATAAAAAAGCATTTTATTGCCAATAGAAGGTCTTATCAGGAAGGTCAGAGAAATTACTTCACATCTTTTATCATATATCATAAGAAATTATAGTATTATTTAAATCTGTCATTGCCATCCCCTCTAAATATAAGGAGATGGATAGAAAATAGCCTCACAAGAGGATGAAAATAACGTATTCTACTTTAACCTTATTCTTCCCATATCCCCAAGGCTAGTGGAATTACTCTCCCAGCAGCAATTTTCAACTAAAATTAAGAACCATTTCTCAGTTTAAACAATCAAGCTCAAATGCAAGTATGCTACAAAAAGGTATGTACCTAAGACATGCTCTCTGACACCAAATATCAAACAATTTCATATGAAAATTTAAGCAAGCAAAAGCGTTAAAATGCATACCGTGCTCTGACCCAGAGGAGCTCGAAGAGCAAGTTGATCAATAAGTCAAGCACTCTCCACCAGCCTTCTCAATCCTTGCCCTCACCGTCTCTGCGAGCCTCAGTGCAGCAACCTTCAGTGCTGGAACTTCATGTACACGAACATCATCACTTACAGTCCCAACCACCACAGCAATCTTATCCTCCCGGATGATCAAACCCAACCAATAACGAGTTCTAAAGTAAATCACACAATTACAATCAAATCTTCAAACAATAACAAATGAAGAAAGTGAAAATTAAAAGCATCCGAAGGAAGTTTTCTTTAAAAGCAGACAACAGAAGAAAGAAAATA